CTAATAATAAGATGAGAGAGTTTTGGGAGTACAACTTGGAACAAAAATCGTCCAGGAGGTTGTGTGGAAAAGAGAGGCCAAAGGCCTTCTTTTATACCCACCAAATGAAGAAAAGACAAAAATTAAGGATAAGTACAAAGTACATAATGAGAAGACAACAAAAAGTAGATTTCAACTCCATCAAAACAAGTCACCCAAAGGTCTTCTCCACATCCTTTCACCAGCTGCTAATGGTCCAAAATGAGAGCTTCTTCAGCTCAGACCTCCATCCAAGACACGGCTTAATCAATAAGCACTTCTCCAAAAAGCCAAAACGGATCCGGGCAATGCTGCTGGAATGCTGCAGCATTATAGTGCAGTGTTGTAAGTCAAAAGATGTCATCTACTCCAAATTGTTGTAAAAACAAATTCATCATCACATTTAGCTCCAAACATAACAAATGGRAAATAAGGAAGTAAAAATGACTCAAGGTTGGGATAAACTAGGAAAATCTACCTATTAAACATAAGAAATGGGTACTTTAAGCATGTAATAAACCATGCTTATCACAACCCCAAACTTAAAGTGTTGCTTGTCCCCAAGCAACCAAATGAGAACTAAAAATGACTCAATATAGTAAGGTATACAAGATCAAGGCAGTAAGTGCACACATAAAGCAAAGCATATCATTTATGAACATCATAGCTCTTCATAAATTTTTAGCAAACCATTCATAGCCTACTTTTCATGTATGAACCATATGCTAGCACTCGTCTTTTCTCAAAAGAACTCAACACACCTCTCCTTGATAGGGTCAATAGGACTTGCTTAAGGCTCTCCTCTCTTTGGCTATTTTCTTTTCTCACTTTGCCTTTTTCCTTTTATGCTTCATCATTCTATTTTTTTTTAAATTTTTGGCACTATGTGTTCTTTATTATGAAAGCATGCACATTGCCCCTATGGGACATTTTTGTGCTTCAAAACAGATTCCACAAAGGCTTTAGAGCTTTGCTCTTTTGGTTTGGAATTTTGACCTTTGTGGTATACCCTCCCCCAAACTTGTACTTTAGACAATGCCCTCATTGGCTATGTTGGTGGAAAGTGTGTATAAGGCAACAAGTGGCTATTATGAGAGTTATACATGAAAAATGGCCTAAATCATACCCATTTGTATGTGAGTGGAATTTTTCTCAAGAAAAGACACATGCTAGTTCTAGCAAGAACACAACTAGTAAGTGAATGGCTATTTACCCTCAAATTTATTTAGGCTATGATATCAAGGATTATAAGCAATGATCATGTAATCAAGTATATAAAAAAGAAAACTAAAAATTAAGAAAACTATCCCAAGACTCAAATAAAAATGAAAGTTGGAAGCTAAAGATGAATGAATGAACCTGTCCTACTCCAAGGGAGTAGGCTGTGTGGCATGTGGTTCCATGGCTGCATTCGTGGCTGCATCTTTGAGTTGTTGATTCTTCTTCTTCAACCTCTTGTTCTCTTCTTTTAGGCTCTTCAGCCTCTTCTCCATTTTCTCACCTTCATGCTCACCATCTTCTCCATTTTATGCTTCATTTCTTTCATCTCTTTCGCTCATTGATGGTGAGGAACTATTATTACTAAGTTCCACCTTCTCAGGTTCTGCATTTGGAGCCTTTACAGCCACTCGTCACCGGTTACTTCTTCGCACAGGTACATTCATCAGTGGTGGGTCTCGAACAGCCGGGCATTTGACTCCAGCCATTGTAAAGAAGGAGATGGGTAAATGATGAAAATATGGGAGAAGATATGGGGGGAAATAGTGTGACAGTAGGTGATGGCATGGTGTGGTGATGGTGGATGATTTCTTAGAGTGATGGAGAAAGTGATGGAGGGAAAAATGGGGGTGATTGAAAGGTTGGGTTAGGAGGGTACAAAAAATGATGTCATCTTGTAAGTGTACTTATGTACCCTCATGTACCTTTCTTAGACTTTTTCTCAAAACATCTTTCACCCTCTCCCTTTCTTCTTTTCAAAAAACCTGGCGCCAAAACCTTCCCCAAACACCAACAAAAATAAATTTTTTTTTCAAGAGAAATTTAAAAATAAAGCCCAACCAACTTTTTCCATTTCACACAAAGCTACAGGCCTAGAATGCTACAGTATTATGAACAGCTCACCAATCTTTTATAAAAAAACACACTAAGCCTTGAAAACATTAAAACACAAACAACCTATGAAATTAAATTTATATACAAACAAAGGTGGACTTTTAAGAAGTCCAAGGGGGATTTTTGAGACTTTTAGCAAGGAGCAGCACAGCTCTCAATGTGCTGTTCTGACACTGCTGCCAGATCATGGTACACTTTTATCCTTTGGCCATTCACCTTGAAAATAGAATTATCTTCCGGGTTTACCAAGTCCACTGCCCCATAAGGATAAACTTTAGAAATAAGAAAATGCCCAGACCATCTAGACTTAAGTTTTCCAGGGAATAACTTCAGTCTAGAATTAAATAAAAGCACATGTTGGCCTTCTCTAAATTCTCTGTGTTGGATTCTGCTATCATGCCATTTCTTTGTCTTTTCCTTATAAAGTTTGGCATTCTCATAAGACAACAGCCTATGTTCATCCAGTTCACATAGTTGTAACTTCCTTTTCTTTCCGGCTTCATTTAAAGACATATTGAGCTCTTTGATTTCCCAGTAAGCTTTGTGCTCTAGTTCTAAAGGAAGATGACATACTTTTCCATATACTAACTTGTATGGGGACATACCAATTGGTGTTTTTGGTTGGTCTATCATGAGGATTCTCTTATCTGGGAAAGTCTCTATAATGTCACATCCCCCTATCTCAAGTTTCTCTAACCTAGATAATTGGTCTGCTACCTGATTCTCCACACCCTTCCTATCACGTATTTCCAAAAGTTCAAAGGCTGACACCTCTACTAGCACAGAATGATTGCCTATTGCCTCTATTTCCTCAACAATTTTTTCTTCTAATACCTCTACACTCTCTTCTTCCAACTTAAGGTTTTTCTGAATTCCTTCCTCAACAACCTCTTCTTGTATTTCAGTTATGCCCGAACACTCTTCCAGATAATCAAGATATTTTAAGGAGTTGAAGACATTAAATGTGACATTTTGGTCTTGAAGCCTCATGGACAACTCTCCTTTCTGGACATCTATCAAAGTTCTTCCGGTGGCTAAGAAAGGTCTTCCTAAAATAATCGGAATGTCCTTATCAGCCTCAAAGTCTAATATGATAAAATCTGACGGAAATATGAACTTATCAACCTGTACTAACACATCTTCTATCTTTCCTTTGGGGTATGCAATGGATTTATTTGCTAGCTGGAGTGTAACTGTAGTAGGTCTAGCCTCTTCTATGCCTAAGGTGTTGAAAACAGACAAGGGCATAAGGTTAATACTAGCTCCTAAGTCACATAAGGCTTTCCCTATCTCCTTCCCACCTATTGAACAAGGAATGGTAAAACTCCCTGGATCTTTAAGCTTAGGGGGTATGCTATTGGTCAAAAGCGCACTACATCCTTC